CCCATTCTGGATATTGGTTTGGTTAAACTGGTGAGCACTAGGAGATGGTGAACCAATGGGAGCAGCAGACCCGAAAGGCACATTAGGTTTCAACATAGCTAAAGTAAAACACAGGCATAAACATAGTGGATAACAATAGAAAATCACTGCATAAATGAGGTACACATTGCCAACAGTTAAAGCAAAATAAGTATGAAATTTTTTTTTATGGACCTCAAAAAAAGGAAGTCTAAACTGCCCAGGAAGTTATATTATGCTCTAGTATTTAAATTCTATATGAATATGCACAGTTTACATAATAGCAAGACCAAGCATCTTTCCTTGCTTATGGTCTTCCCATTGTAATATTCGATTAAACCAGGAGCTTTTCTTTTCACTAATAGTGCAAAATAAATATAAACAAGTACAGCGGTACCTTGGTTGTTGAATGGCTTGGCTCCCAAACAAATCAGCTCCCGAACGCCGCAAACCTGAAAGTGAGCGTTCCAGTTTGTGAATGTTTTTCGGAAGCTGAATGTCTGACGCGACTTCCGCAGCTTCCGATTGAGTGCAGGAAGCTCCTGCAGCCAATCGGAAGCTGCACCTTGGTTTTCAAATTGTTCCAGAAGTCGAACGGACTCCTGGAATGGATTAAGTTCAACAACCAAGGTACCACTGAACAGTAATGTAATAATATGGATAATGACATGCACTAGTATAGTGGAGACATCAACCTCTATATGGCCAATGTTACTTTACCTGACTGAGATGCAGAAGATGAGTTTACATCACCATAGTGTCCATACATATGTGAAGAAGCAGGTTGCCCAAACCAGCAGAGAATCCCCCCATTCCTGGCTGGGGCTGAGAATATGGAGGTGTTGCAACATATCCTTGCTGATTCATTTTAGCAGTGATTTATTTCTGATGGAAAACCTGTCATAAAATTAGAAGAAGTCAAGTAATAAAATCAGCAATACTTCACTGATACATAGTGCAGGTAAAGCACAGAATGAGCTTTATGACCCAAAAGCAATGTTACAAGGCAAGAGGACAGCATCCTACTTATTAGCTCTCTTGCATAATGGCTACCAGATTATGGACAAAATGCACAGATGTTCTCTTGTAGCAAAGGCACTGATACAAACACTTAAAAAAAATAAATCAGCTAGAATATGTGGATAACATTAAATCAGATTGAACCACTGTTACTGTGTTGCGATAACAACCAGGTTTTGCGACCAGTGGTTGTCTGGTAAAGGTAAAGGTACCCCTCGCCGTACGGGCCAGTCTTGACAGACTCTGGGGTTGTGCTCCCATCTCACTTAAGAGGCCGGGGGCCAGCGCTGTCCGGAGACACTTCCGGGTCATGTGGCCAGCGTGACAAAGCTTGCATCTGGCGAAGCCAGCGCAGCACACAGAAACGCCGTTTACCTTCCCGCTAGAAAGCGGTCCCTATTTATCTACTTGCACCTGGGGGTGCTTTCGAACTGCTAGGTTGGCAGGCGCTGGGACCGAGCAACGGGAGCGCACCCCGCCGCGGGGATTTGAACCGCCGACCTTTCGATCAGCAAGCCCTAGGCGCTGAGGCTTTTACCTACAGCGTCACCCGCGTCCCTACGGGTTGTCTGGTAGGGCAGCCCAATTTCCTGATTTGCCAGAAAAAATAGGTATCACTACGATGATTCCAAACATTTTGACAACCTATATGGTTTTGACATGATAATATTATCTTTAGCACCTGAAAATATTATACAGATGACTTTGCAGACAGATCCAACCACTGGGTAGAAAGGGCCATTGCCTTTCCAGCTCCATGGAAAATGCAAACAGGAAAGCAGATATCAGTAGGCAGTGGTGGATGGTGCCCATTGGGTCTGAAAGGGCAGAAGACAAGAGAGCCTAAGAGATGATGGAGCCAAAACCAATGACAGGTGGAGACTCCCCATGACTGGTTGTATGTAAGAAGACAGGTTGGTGGGGCATTGCCCCATCCACACTAATGGGCCACCCTCTACTCGCAGTAGGCACACCAAGCTTCCCCTACTTTGCACTTTTTGGTCTTTCCATTGCACATTCTGAACCAAAAGCTATCCTTGTCACCTGTATTATACCAGGGAACAACAGAAAACAAAATCTAGTGATTGACCTTGCCAGGGGCACTTTATGAAGTGGGTCCAGCCCTGCTTACATTTTGTTGGAATTTGCACACATGTGCATGGGCACACACTGCAGTGCTCACTGATTTTTCTAAATATTTGCTCTAAAATGAGGCCAGTTTCCATAGTCACTGAGGACACAGTAGCCCTGATATTCCTCACTCAGGTCATTTTTCCTGCCTATGGCACCTTTGTTTGCACACTGCTGCAAAATCTGTCTTTCAAACAGTTGCCACCACAAGATGCAAAAGGCATGATCCCATCCATGGCAGTTGCTTCACACAACTAAGTGGTCATCGGTAGGTAACCATCACACACACAAAGACAGAGTTCAAGAGCCACACACCAACAGTCATGAGATCTGGCCCATAACTGGGAACTGTGGCAGCCAATACTTATTATGTATACTGAGTATACCACAAACTAGTCTCCAACTCCCAGTCAAAACACAAAAAACCAACCATATCAGGAGTTATATAGTTCTGCAAATGTAATCCAGACATGTTTTTCCAGTTGTGTAACTCAGGCGGTAACTTCTTGAGGGCTGCAATGGTTTGCCCCTTACTTTATTTATTGCATTTATTTCCCACCTTTTCTCCCACGAGCCCAAGGCTGCGTACACACCACCTTCCCATCTCCATTTTGTCTTCTCAACAACCCTGTGAGGTAGACTAGGCTGAGAGTGTGTGACTGACCCCAAATTCACCCAAGTGGGTTTCATGTATGAGTAAGGATTTGAACCCTGGTCTCCCAAGTCCTAGTCCAGCACTCTAACCACTACTCACATTGGCTCTCAGTTAAGCCCCCACTGAGCATGGCAAGGCTTACTTTTGACCACGTAACATGATGCCTTTAAAGCAACATTCGAAGCACATTCGTTCCTTCAAAAGATTCTGGGCGCTGAAGTTCATCCCTCACAGAGCTACAGTTCCTGGCACCCTTAACAAACAATGCTAACAAACAATTATTTGAGGGAAAGAAGATGCTTTAAAGGTATGGTGTGTATACAGCATATTGAGTGAAATGCAGATGGGGTCATGCTGTGTGACTCAGTAAACATGACAGAGTACATTACAATGGTGGTTACAGTTACAGATAGGTAGCCGTGTTGGTCTGCCATAGTCAAAACAAAAAAAATTCCTTCCAGTAGGCACCTTAAAGACCAACTAAGTTAGTTTCTTGGTATGAGCTTTCGTGTGCATGCATCTGAAGTATGCAGGTATCTGAAGAAGTGTGCTGCACACCGAAAGCTCATACCAAGAACTAACTTAGTTGCGTCTTTAAGGTGCTACTGGAAGGAATTTTTTTTGTTTTGAATGGTGGTTACAGTGACAGAAGGCAGTAATGATGACAAATGTGACCTAATGGTTCAAGCCTATGCAAGTTTACTCAGAAGCAAGTCCCACAAGATTCAATGAGGCTAACTCAAGTACAGAAGAACTGCAGCCAAAGAATCACCTGCCCAATAACATCTCCTACTTATATTTTAGCTCTTCAGAGCCGAAACTAGAAGTACAGAGGGGAAATTCCATATAAAAAAGTAAGTATGATGACGTGGCATTAGAAAAAACTGTACCAGGGTTGCAATTACCACTTTTCAGTCCCTATAACTGCAGCCATTATCTACTTCCAACTAATCTGTACATTAGCCAAGATAAAAATTAAGGTAGCAAAGATCACGCAGGCCTAGCTACCATATTCAATTTCCCATTTGGCGGGAATGAGTGTCTCTCTGTGTGTGAAATCAACCATGGGTTTGATTCGGGGTGCACACAGCTCTATAACAATTCAATGTGCTGAAAGAGTATATCAACTTTTTTGGGAGGAAATATTACCTATATTATATATATATATATGCAGAAACACCACTAGTACAAAGTGTAGGTGAAACCGCATTAAAAAATGCTTTATATCTGCTCTGCTTTTTAAAAACAAACTCTTCTGTGGTTAGTGTGTGTGTATATATGTTTATGCTGCTAACTTCAGGTGTGCATAAGGAAAGGTATCAACAAATCTTTACCAAATTCAATAGAGATAGGCTCACTGGATTATTAATATAGGGACACACGGCAGGACTGTTAATTTATCAATGTTATCATTATGGATTATGAATGCTAACATGAAGGTCTGGTCTGCCAATGTACACTACTTTCCCCCCTGGTTGAAATATTTGTTTTGGTTTTGTCTATACTGAATGTTTCTATTAACTGGAACAAATTCCAGTTTAAAAAAATTCCCAAGCCTCTCAAGTTTCATGCATATAAAATTGCAAATCCTTTCTTCGAATCTTTTTTAATCTACAAGATTTAGAAAACTAAATAGGAAAGAAAGCACATAGGCACATCAGGTTTCTCCCAGTGCCAAGGTGTTTTTCCCTCCTTCTGGTTAGACTGAAACGTGGCAGTCTAAGCCCTGGTCACTTCAGCAAGTTTAGTTAGCAGCCAGCATTAAAGCACCTACGCTACATTTTCATTGTCAATATAAAGAATGAAGCTAAGGGCAATTGTTGTAGAACTTGGTAATGCTCTTAGCTTTGATAGTATCTAAAGGAAACAACTTCCTGCACAGTTCAGTAGGAGGGAAAGACAGTGTGCCACGTCAGACTTCCTATTCACAACTAAATAGACTCTAAACTCTTAGAAATACAAACATAGTACTGCTGACTTAGTGGCCTATATCCACTTCCAAACACATTACAGATAACATAGGTGGTTTAATAAACCACACCCTTTCCCCAAAAACAAATATGATACAAAGTACAAGTAAAACCCTATTTTGCAAAGTACATCAGATTTCAGTACAATTAACCCATTCCCTCATAATCAGAAAGGGCACACAAAACAGTACTAAAACCAAATATTGGGTTTTGGCCACTCGAGATAGGAACCTTAGGAAGAAGAAGAGTTGGGCTTTGTTATCCCGCTTTATTACTCCCCTAAGGAATCCTCAAACAGCTAACATTCTCCTTTCCCTTCCTCCCTGACAACAAACACTCTGTGAGGTGAGTGAGGCTGAGAGACTTCAGAGAAGTGTGACCAGCCCAAGGTCACCCAGCAGCTGCATGTGGAGGGCGGGGAAGCGAACCCAGTTCACCAGATTACGAGTCTTACCGCTCTTAACCACTACACCACCTGGCTCTAGGAAAGCTGCCTTATGTGGAGTAGGCCATTGGCCTTAGTAATGTCTACACTGACTGGCAGTGGCTCTCCAAGTGTTTCAGACAGGGGACATTCCCTACCCTAACTGGAGGTGGCAGAGATTGAACTTGTGACCTTCTGCATGCAAAGCAGATGCTCCACCACCGAGTTACTGCCCTTCCCCAAAGAGGCAGAAGTTCCCTATTACAAGGTGTCTAAAAACATGTGGTCACAAACCCTTTCTGCACCTATATACTGCTAATTTGCTGGGCCAACCAAAAGTACTCCTTTGCCATTTCATCTACCTCCAGGATATGTCTAAAGTTATTAGGGATTCTAGTCCTACCAGTGCAGTCGTATGATTGGACTCAGGTAGACTTCCCAAAGTCAGCCTGAAATAGTTGGTGACTGCAACCATAGAAAGAACTAGTCACACTTAGGCCAGGTTTAGATATCACAGCTAAATCACCTTGTGATCTGGCTCATACACAGAGCTTGGATACTTCCATCTTCCTCTCCTTGTGCACCCCAGTTCCCTCCCCTACTCCTCGTTTTCTTCCACATCCAAATCAAGCAAAATATGGTTACTGCCAAAAACAGATGATCACAAAACTGTTTTGGAAACCCAGTTCAAGCCATGGTTTTGTGGCAATTCTGGTATTGTGGTAAACTATAGCTTGCAGTAACTACTTTGGCTGATTTAGACATCACAGCAAACTATAAGTATTGCAAACCAGGAAGTGAAGGATAGAGTGGAGCTTTGTGAGCCCAAGGCATGGCCCAGGTGACAGATCTTTGGTTTAGCAGTGACGTCTGACCCATGTCATGATTTTCCACAAAACACTAGGAAGAGCCTTCATTCATAAGCATATCACACATGTCGTATAGGCTGGAATGGTGAGCAAGGAGGAAGGAAGATCTTAAAAATCAACAAAAATGATTAAATCAGGTTAAATCAACAAACTACTTGGCCATGAAGCTCACTGGGTGACCTTGGGCCAGTCACCATCTCTTAGTCTAGCCTACCTCACAGGGTTGTTGTGAGGATGAAATGGAAAGGAGGAGAACCATGAACACCACCTTGAGATCCTTGAAAAATTAAGGTGGCAAATAAATGTAATAAGGAATAATAAAAAATAATAAATGCTACAACTGTTGGGATAGCTCCGTAGGTAGAACATCAGACTCTTTATCTCAGGGTGTGGGTTCAAGTCCCATGTTGAGCAAAAGATTCTTGCATTGCCTGGGGTTGGACTAGATGACCCTTGTGGTCCCTTCCAACTCTATGATTCTCCTCTTCTTCTTATGCCAGAAGAAATAATCCAAAGGCTATACTAGAAGTAAATCAGAAGGAGATTGTTGGGGGCAGTGGCAGTTTCTGAAATTAACATCAGTTTCCATGATCAACAAGTGAGCTGTTTTGTGGTTGTGTTGTATTCTACAATGATTGGTGCATGGTGAAGGTGAAGCAGTTGTGCAATCTCTTTCCAGCACCCCCAGTATTTAAGATGCTTACGAAAAGACTACACAACCCATCATAAAGAGTGTCACTGGGCAACCCAAGAGTATCAAAAGGAAGGGAAGAAGCATGCAACTTTTATGGTGATTAGGCTGATTTGCCCAACCCTGATGTGCATGGCAAGAACACTCTCCCAATACGCCAAGGTGCCAACATCACACTTTTGACTCATCACACACAGAAAATCCTGCGCCCACCTAAACAGCCAGATGCATTCTGTCAAAAATTCAACGCCTATAACAATCAACTCTAGAAAAACCACGGAAGCCTTGCAATATTAGGTGCTAGTTAGACAGGTGTTGGTGTGTGTATTTTTAAAGCACTAATGGAGGCAACTTTCTAAAAAAAAAAAAAAAAAAGTTAAACACATTTACGGTAAAAACTGTCTGTAACGATACAGCAAATGCCCTAAACCAAAACCTTCCCGAATCTCAAAGGAGAGCTGAACACTCCTGCAATTTACATCGACTACTGCCAGTCCCTAGAAGACTGGAGGTGCCTCCTTGGTGCTGCTCAGATCCTGCGTCTGGCGACCACCCCCAACTTGCTGTGGGAGAAGGATAAACTCTCCCCAGTCCCCTCTCGTGCTGGGACACCCCTCTCTCCCCCCCCATAGGCCCCCTATGCCAAACCTACAAAATTCGCCGGCTCATCCTGGGATCCTTCCAGCCGTTGTGTTGCTCCTTCTTTTGGGATGCTCCCCTCCTCCTGCTCCCTGGAGGACAGGAGCTCCACTCACTGAGCAAAACATCCAGGACCGCCCCCCCTCGCAGAGACGCTCGCCTCTTCTCCCCCCACCCACCTGGGCACAGGTGGCCCCCTCACCTGGCCAGTCTCCCGCGCTCCCCGTCCGCCCTTCTCGCCGCGCGGATGCTCCGCGGGTCGCGCCGTTCCAAGCGGGTCCAGCAGGCGCTTGTCAGAGGGAGGGAGAGCGTGGCAGCCGGCTCCAGGCTCCCGCCTCTCCCGCTCGCTCGCTCTCCCCGCCCGGGAGCGCTCAGTGAACTGCCACGTCTAACAGTGCTCGCGGGAGCGCGCGGCGAGGCCCCAGCTGGCCCGGAGGAGAGCGCGCGCCGCCGCCGCGTCAGAGAAGCGGCGCATCATTGGCGAAAGTGGGAGAAGAGTCGAGCATGCGCGGTGCCTCTGGCGAAGCCTTTTGCCCCGGCGCGCTCTTCCAGTCGTTGCTCCCAAAGAGGAAGGAAGAATTGATGAACGGGGGTGGGGTGGGGAGGCAGAGCTGCCAAAGGGGAGGATCGGGGTTCTTAAGGAAGCGGGGACGGAAGGGAAGGATCGCATAAGCTTCATTCATCATCATCATCAAACCTTTTATTGGCATCACATACAAACATCCATAACATAACAGTACAGAGTTACCGCTTCCCCCGTGGCACAAAACATTTACCAAAAAAAAGGAGAGGCAGAGCAGACTATTTGTCACAGTAAGCTTTATTAGAAGACTTTCCTTGAGGGGCAATACATGCCTGAAGGGTAGCACAGCAGCAGCTATTATTATTGAAACAACAACAAAAAATCATTCCAGTAGCACCTTAGAGGACCAACGAAGTTTGTTACAGGTATTGGTATGAGTTTTCGTGCGCATGCTCACTTCTTCAGATACATACTTCCGAAGAATTATGCATGCACACAAAAGCTCATACCAATTACAAACTTACCGTAGTTGGTCTCTAAGGTGCTACTGGAAGGAATTTTTTATGTTTTGTTTCAACCACGACAGACCAACAAGGCTACCCACATGCAAATAACAACAACAACAACAACAACAAAACAAAACAACAACAACAAAACAACAACAACAACAACAATAATATTCCCCACCCATGTGGCTGGGTTGCCCCAGCCAAAAATAGGAGAGAAGCTCATGGCTTCTCAAAGATTACTGTTGTCACTAATGTCTGCTGTTGTGACTTTTAACAGTGCTTGTTTTGCATGCATTTGCCAATCCACCTATAGAGAAAGTCTGCAGTGTTCAGAGAAGAGGTGGCACGACAGAAGTTTATAAAATTATGCATGGAGAAAGTGGATAGGGATCACTCTCTAATGCTAGTACTTGTGGGCATTCAATGAAGGTGAATTCTTGGAGGATTCAGAACGCAGAAAGAGGAAGTACTTTTTTTACATACAGCACATAGCTTGAACTATGGAACTTGTTCCCACAGGAGGCAGTGATGGCAGAGAAATTCATGGAGGAGAGAGCTATGGATGGCCGCTTGCCATGATGGCTATGCTCTGCCAGCCACAGTTGGAGGAAACAATGCTTCTGAATACCAGTTGCTGGGAACCACAGGAGGGAGAGCACTTTCCCCTCAAATCCTGCTTGTTAGCCTCCCATCATGGGGCTGATGGGAGTTGTAGTTCAAAACATCTGGAGGGCAGCAGGCACGTGAAGCCTGGGCTATCTTGTCAAGCATCCCCTTTCCTCCACTGGCTAAATAAATAAATATGCAATTGCTGATTGCTCATCTCTGGAAATACTGTTAACCAGGTGTGTCTTCATCCTGAAGTAAAACATACAGGTTCTTTGATAGGCGAGAAAGAGCTAAAGGGGAAGTAGACAATCCATAGTTATTTTACTTAACACACTTTGCATACTACTTGTAAATAGAACCTATAAACTGTTTTTTTAAAAAGCAAACACTTTGTCTGGACTTACCCCAGCCTTAGTTCAGCCATTTTTGAGATGGAGGATTTACACTGGTGTCTCTGTGGCTGAGCCAGAATGGGGAACTTCAGCTCAGGTGGAGATCTGCCTATATCCCCTTCATTCTGTCTGATATCATGTTTGGATTTCTCTCTCTAATCGTAGCAGTATATATTATCACCATCCTCACCACCCCATTATTTGCACGCTGCTTGTCCACAGACAACATATCGTCAAAGCAGCAAACAATTAGAACACACAAAATCAACAATTACAGGAGTAATTTCATAACAACAGCAATACAGTATATAACAAATGTAACAGCGAACAATCCCCACCCCACAACTTTTCAGTACTATAAATATAGCAACATTACGCTCCAGGCAGTAGCAAAACAATTGAGTTTAAAGATTTTGTCCTTGATGTTTCTGTTACTGCTGCTTTGCTTGCTACAAATTAGCCAAGAATCAAGTTAGTCTGATCAAATACTGTATCTAGGCCTCAGCTTCCCACCAAAGTATCCACTACCCCTTTCACTTTGCCATTCAGGCAGCTGCTGAAGTCATGCTGTAACTCACAGTCCCTCTCCTACTGAATCTTCTTATGGGAACCTTTCACCTTCCAGATGTTGTTGAACTACGACTCCCATCTGCCCTAGTAAGCCTGGCCAAGCCTGATGGGAGTTGTAGTTCATCAACATCTGGAAGGCCAAAGGTTCCCACACCCATTATAAGGTTTCCAAACGCAAGGAGTGGGCAGCTGGAAACAATTTTCCCATCGTGGTATATATTTGATGATATAAATTTATAATCACAGTAATTAAGGTTATTTAACAAAAATGTTGAAGATCCTTGAAGGTTAAGCTGGAACGCTTTGCTTTGCAAAACCATTACCTAAAATTATGCCATGTAAACAGTGATGTAATTGAGGGCACCAGGTTTCCAACAGGTGTAAGGTGGCCTGCTTTCGGGAAACGTCTCCTACCTCTGGTACATGACAGAATGTTTTTGAAATTCTCTTCTGGCTATTCCGGATGACATATTTTACTCTTTCCTTCCTTTCCCGTAGCTAAGCACAACTGTCAAAGCCGATATGCCTAGTTTTACGGGAGATAGACATAAAGAAAAGTGACATTCTGGTCCTGCTGATAAGGACCACATCTGTTAGAGGTTTATCCTACCAGGTTATTCCCGTAATTGACAACACAGAAGAGGAATGCCAAAGCTATATTTAAGTAATTGGCTCTAAGGGATTAAAGGTGTGCCTTCCACAGGTGTGTCCCACATGGTGGGAGCCTGAATTAGGGGGAGTGGGTTTTCATGGGTTGGGGGGGAAGTGGGGAGAGTTTAGTGAGGGAAGGAAAGATGCGTACCGAGGTTGAGGCCTTTTTTGATATAAGCAGTTCATTTAAGAGCATTTTTGTGGTTATGTTGTATACTCCACAATATCCACAGATTTAGGAGGTAAAGTCACACTTGATCTGAAATGCAGGTATGTGGGCAAGACTGCCCCTTAATGCTGCAACTGAGCTAAGTTTCAGAAGAACCAGTTTAAAACAGACACACACACACACGCACACACACACACAGAGAGAGAGAGAGAGAGAGAGAGAGAATATCATAGAACTGTAGAGTTGGAAGAGACCACAAGGGTCATGTAGTCCAACCCCCTGTAATGCAGGAATCTTTTGCCCAATGTGGGACTCAAACCCAGGCCCCTGAGATTAAGAGCGTCCTGCTCCACCAACTGAGCTATCCCAGGTCAGGGTAAAGAGGCATTGTTGTTGTTTAGTCATTGAGTCGTGTCCGACTCTTCGTGACCCCATGGACCAGAGCACGCCAGGCACTCCTGTCTTCCACTGCCTCCCGCAGTTTAGTCAAACTCATGCTGGTAGCTTCAAGAACACCATCCAACCATCTCATCCTCTGTTGTCCCCTTCTCCTTGTGCCCTCCATCTTTCCCAACATCAGGGTCTTTTCCAGGGAGTCTTCTCTTCTCATGAGGTGGCCAAAGTATTGGAGCCTCAGCTTCACGATCTGTCCTTCCAGTGAGCACTCAGGGCTGATTTCCTTAAGAATGGGTAGGTTTGATCTTCTTGCAGTCCATGGGACTCTCAAGAGTCTCTTCCAGCACCATAATTCAAAAGCATCAATTCCTTCATGGATCACTGCCTTGCCGTGGCGAAGGGGCTTGAAGAACTCAGAGAAGCTATGAACTACGCCAAGCAGGGCACACAAGACGAACAGGTCATAGTGGAGAGTTTTGACCAAACGTAATCCACCTGGAGGAGGAACCGGCAAGCCACTCCAGTATCCTTGCCAAGAAAACTCCATGGACAAAGGCAACAGGCACTAGGACCTAGGAGACCACAATTCAAATCTGCACTCGGCCATGAACCTCACTGGGTGATCCTGGACCTGTCACTGTCTCTCATCCTAACCTACCTTGCAGACTTGATATGAGGATAAAATGGGAAGGGGGGCGGGAGCATGCATGCCATCTTGAAAGAAAGGTTGAATGGAAATAACTGATAGATAGATATTCACAGACAATGGTGAAATATTTCGGAAAAAACATGTAAAGTACTGTCAAGAAATTTGGTTTGCTGATCAATTACAGACATAATACTATCAGATTTGACATTTAGCCTGAAGGAAATGGAATTAACTATTAAGATGTTGAAGCAAATAGGAACAATGGTAATGTTTGCTTCCATTCAAGCCTTGGCAATACCAGCCATTTTAGGGAGAAAGCAAAACAAAGAAATTATTTTCAAGAGAGATTCTGTCAATATACACATAAATACAGTGTTTATTCCATTCCTCTGTAATACCCACCATTGTCTCTCAGTGAGATATTAGTAAATAGGAAAGCAACAGCCATGGCAACCAACCGTACTGAATCCTAGTCAATATTCTCAATGCAATTTAAGAAATCGGTAGACTCTCCCCAATAGGACTCTGTGCTACGCATGGAATGCTTTTAAGAAATGCAAACATCACATTCACATTAAACATAGAAAACTGGGAGGGGGAAATGGATTTTCAGA